GCCGGCCGGCGAGACCGGCGGACGAGCAGGGCCGGCTGCTGGCGGCTCAGCGGTGGGCCCGATGGGGCCCCGGACAGTCAAGCAGTGGCGAGGCGTCCCAGCTTGCCTATAGGCCTACCAAAAAGAGTGTTCTGAGAACTTTGCGCGGTCTGCACGTCGTGTTCTTAGATAAAATATGTCTGGCTGGGGCTGTCTGGTTGGAGCACATCGGGCTCAAGGTCTAGGAGCATTGCTTTTGTTATCTTAGAACAGGTCTGGGTTCCAAGAACGTGTCGTGGCAGGCCTATGGGAATGCCAGGACGGTCGGTCCCTGCTGGAAGACCCCGTCAAGGGGCTCGGGTGCCCTTGTGGCGCTGGGCAGCCCGCGCCCGCGAAGAGATCGGGGGGGCGATCTTTCGGGGGCGGTTGCCGTTCTCGTCGTCGTCGTCGCCCTCGCCGTCCTACCGATGGTTTTCATTCACCGAGCACGTTCCGCTGCTCGCAAAGTGCATACTCGCAAGTGTCCGAGCACAACATGTCCTCCTCTATGTAAGGGATCGTAGATCCCACGCGGCGGGTCCAGGCCACTTGCGAGGAGGCACCTTGCGAGTGGTCGAACGCGCTTGTCAACTACGGACCTCCTCGGAACTCGAACTTCCACGTCGGGGCCTCCGCCCCGAGGGGGCCCCTGAGACGGCCAGCTGGCGCCCCAACAGTCCCCCACGAGGCTGCGTGGGGTCAGACAACGTAAATCACGGCGGGTGGTTTGTCCTTGTTCTCGGCCTCCAGGGGCCCTGCCCAGGCCTTGGGGCCGTCAGAAAACGACTCGGGATGACAAGCCGGTCTGGGCGAAGAGGCCGACGCCCTGAACAAAGCCTGGCGTCAAGGCTCCGGGGAGCAGGCACGGCTTGTTCTGCAGCCTCCGGGGGCCGTCCCTGCCCTGCAGATGGCAGGCGGTTCTAGCACTCCGACGTGGGTGCGCCCTGGATTCGACGTGAACTCGAAGTGGATTCGACACGGGTTCGAGACACACTCGACACGCATCCCACACGGATGCGACACGGATGCGACACGGTCTGGCGCGATGGGGCAGACGAGGTTCCCCAAAGATGCAATCCAACGTTGCGGGGGGATGTTGCTGCCCTTCAGAGGTTCGACACGCCGGCCCCCCAGGAGGTCAGTGGGGCGGACGTGGTCTGGGCTATACGGATTTCGCCGAGCAGGGTGCACCACATGAGGACGACGAAGAGTAATGTGATGCTCG